CTTATCGGAGAGCTTGGGGTAAGGAACAGAGACTGGAGGCTCTGGTTCTCTTCTCTCCTCTTCCCTCTTCTGCTCCTTCTCACGTGACTGCCTGCCCGGCAAATGGATGAGTGTAATTGTTCAGCACAGGTTTACCGAGTGGCAAAATCGGCTTGTGTGATAGTTACTTAACACCTCACCTGGGGGTCACACAGCTGGCACGAAGTCTGCCAATTCCAGCTTTGTACCGTGGGGCAAGTTGCTTTCTCACCTGAGTCTCAGCTCTCCCGTCAGTTCAAAGGTCCTTACCCATGGACGGGTGTACGACATGGGATTACAAATGTCATATCCGCACACATCTTCTTTCCTGAGAGTCTCCCTATTTTGTACTTTGCACTGCAGAAAGCGACCGCGTAACAGCTACCAATGTCAAGATCACTGAAAGGAAGGGCAGACTTTTAAAATAAAGTACAAATGAGGATTTCTAGAAGACTTCACTGGAAGAAGATCCTCCAGGAAGACAGCGATGCTGAGCATGTTCTCCGAGCGCTGCCGTCACCCTGTTCTTGTGATTTAGTTCCTACCGCTGTCACTGCTGTTCTCGATGATGACAGCACCAGCTGTGTGTGTGGCACTGAGCGCTGAACACAGGGGCTCCCACGAGCTAGGCAAGGGCCCCACTCCGGAGCTGCAACCGCTCCAACAGCAAGCACTTTTTTGTGAGTGTAGAAAGAACTCCAGGAACTTTTATATCAGCCAGAAAAAGCTTCCCTCCTTTGTTCTCTTAACAACAGGTAAGATGGCCAAGAACTGAAAAAAATTTTTTAAATAAGGGAAGCAAAGTGGAAGCGAGCATAGGAAATGCAAGCAACCTGACAATGCCAGGGCCTTGGGTTCTGATGCTCCTTGAGCTGGCTCGCGCCATCCATGCCTGGTCCAATGTCACACACTATTCATGATGTTCAAGCCCTGGGTCTGATCCCACTGTGGCATCATTTCTGAGCAGCCCAAGTACATTTTCACATAGTTTCCCACTGCCGAGCTTACTGCTTATCAGTGTATTTGTGCTGTTGGGGTCTGGATTGACTTACTTTTGGTTATTACCTACTGGGTCTGTTCTCTCCTGGCAAAAGAGCCGAAGCCTGTCATTAGAATGAATCACAACCCATAGCAGCTCTCTTCGGCCCTGTCTGGGTCTGCTTTTCATGGGAAAGGATTTCCTTGAGCCTCCAGTGACCTCGACTGCCCCTTCATGTTTGAGAGAGGGACACGGAGAATCCGAGTGGAGGCTCTGTGTGGGCAGTGCTATCTCCTCCCAGGCCCACCTGGCTTGGCCTCAATGTCCCTCTGGTCGCGTCTCCTGTCACCTCCCCTGCTGCGCGAGTTCTCGTCTCTGCTGCAGGACCTTTGCACTTGCTACACCTGCTGCCTGCAGAAGACCCCTGGATACCCACTGGCTTTCTTTGCTTCTTTCACGCAGTGCTTACACTTCACTTTATCTGAGAGGCCTTCCCCAATGACCCTTCCTAAAACTCAGACCCCGCCTTGTCACCACCTGGCCTGGCATCGGTACAGCTGTATCCATTTACCAATGTGCTGCTTTTCTTTGTTATCTGTCTCCAGAAGAATAAAAGCCCCATGAGGCCAGCATCTTTACCTTGTGTGCTGACACCTTCTGCACCAGCAGCAGTGGTCGGTTAGTCTCTAGTGCTATTACTGAATGAACAAATGAACAAATGGTGGTGTCACTGAGTGTGAAAGGGCTGTGACCTGGCCACTGGAGGACCCCTACAGTCTGTGTTTAGAGCCCTCCTTTTGGGTCAGCGCTCCCAGCCAGGAGAGTTCTGGTTGCTGGTGTTCTTGCAGCTGACTGGGGAAGAGACTGAAGTTGCTGTGGCTGAGCGTGTGGGCCATCACCTGAGCCTCTCATCTTGGCAAGGGCTTTCCCTGGCCCTCTGCTCCTGTGCCAGAGTCCTTATGCCCAGAGCCCTCTGAATAAACTTCTCAAGGAGATTCCTGGCTAATACCGAGGAAGGGAGTGGTGGTGGAAAAGCTGCTTCTTTCAAACCCTACCATGTGCTCTTTCTCAGGTGAACCTGGTATCTGATTCCTGGCCATTTCTGGGGTTTGGCAGGGTCTGGCACAGTGGCTGCTGTGGGTGTTCCATGCTTTCCGGGGAGCGCACTGACTGTAGTGTTTGTGGATTCCATGGTGTGAACACCCCCACTAGAGATGACATCACCGAACATGGACTTCATAGGCCCTTTATACGTCTGTACTGTCACAGGACCCAGTTCAGTTGAGACTGAGACCCTGCTACATCTCCATTCTCCCTCAGCATGGGTGCTCACCTCTGCTTCCCTACACAATGTCCTAGTACTCTGTTCAACTGGAGTTTCTGGTACTTTTAACAAGAGTTCTATGTGTTTAATGATAAGAGTTTGTTTTGAAGCCTGAGGGTTCCAGGATCTCCTTTTCATACAGTACCTGTCTGTCATATATTTTGACTGAGAAATACAGATTGGTAAAAATTCATTGTTATAAATTCAACAGTGCTGTCAGAGAACTTTCATTCTGTGCACTCGTATGTCCGTATGTGGTACTTGCATGTCCATGGCGCTGCTTATTCAGACATATGTGATGCTTGGTGACAGCTAGTTTCTGGACTGTTCCCAAAGCCCATGTATTCAGGGCTTAGTCTCTAGGGTGGTGTTAGGAGATGGTAGAAACTTCAGGAGGTGGGGCTCATGAAGGCCTTCTGGTCACTGGGAGCTTGCACTGGAAGGGGATCCCAGGACCCCAGCCCTTCCTCTTCTTTTACTTCCAGCCACGAAGTGCATGGGCTTCCTTTGCCACACATACCCTACCACGATATGCTCCTTTCCACTGATCCAAGAGCAACGGGGCCAATGGACCATGGACTGAAATCACCACAACCATAAGCCTAAATAAACCTTTTGCTTGTAAGTTGATGGTCTCAGGCATTTTGATACAGTGACAGAAAGCCGAGTCACCATATATAGATTTCCGGAGTCCCGGAAGCTCCGCTCTCCTCCTCCTAAACCAGTTCCTTAGTCCATAGGTTGGGAGCCAGGTTTTAGACTATTTTTTCCCCAAATTTACCCCCATTCCTGAGTTTAAATGAACTCCTTCTGGCCTTCCCCAAGACCACATTGTGCTTCGTGTCCATCCCCTCGTCCACGCTCACTGCCGGTGCTGTGGTTCCTCGCAGACATCGAGGCAGTAGGTTCCTGTCTGGCCTCTTTTGTCTTTCTGTGCTTAACTGTGCTCTCTCCATTCCTCACATCCCTTCCTTGCAGGAAATGCTACTTGTGTGCAATCACTAGATGTAGGATGCGGATTTCCATCATCCGCAACCCCTTGTGTCTGTAAACACGCCATGTACCTTTTGCCTATGAGCTGGGGTTTGAACCAGCTCTGGTAAGAGCGGCTTCTCTTGTACATGGCAAGCTCATGCTCCAATGCCAGCTATAGGATTTCGCATTTTCACCCTCACAATCCTCCTGGCATCCTGCAACTTTGGCCACACACTTCTCACACTGTAGGCCCTGTGGGGACAGGGACTGTCAAGGCAGGTTTGTGTTCCCAAGCACCTTGGACAGCACCTGGAACACAGCTGATGCCTAATACAAGCTCACCGAACAAACGATGGACCGGGGTGCTTGTGAGTGTTGTTTCCTCTTTGAGGTTAGCTAGGAAATCTACGCATAGCAGAGATCTGGAAATGAAGAAATGTGTTAGAATGTTTTCTCAGTTCTTTTTCCTGTTTCAGTCTCTTTTGACAGTTACTGCATTTTCCTCTGACTACAAAAGCAGTAGGTAGACAGCATAGTATTTACATAGATTCTGACATCAGACAGACTTGAATTCAAACTTTGCTACTTGTAGCAGATTATAAGCAAATAAAGAAGGCCATGTTTTAGCTTTCTCAGCTGCAAGTGGAAGCTTTCATAATATGGCTGACTTCCTTAGGCTGTTACACAGACTGCCCTAGAATGCGCATGTAGAGTGCACAGCACAGCAATTGCTGGATGAATATGTCCAGTTGCCGCCATTATGCTTGATGCATAGAAGGTAAAGGCCCATGACTGGTATGCAGCTGGAGGACATCTATGGCTTAGGACAGTGATGCTGAACCTTTTAGAGCTTTCAAAGATACAAACAGCCTGCTGTGGCCCCCACGCCATAGGCTTGCCAACTGGCCTAGGGTCTTCAGTATCTTGCATTACAACACAATGTGACTCCAGAAGCCTTGGAGAATAATCTGGATCTTTCCTATGGGGCAGGTTTTCTTTGCCAAAGAATTCAGACAATGACAAGAGAGCTCATTTCCTCAAGCTCTGACGGATGCCCTAAAGTGGACTGTTCTGGACACCTGCTGCAGGGTCAGGGCATTCTGCTGTCCCCAGCCCTACAAGGAGGGCTGCTCTGCCACTCCCGCAAGGCCAGGGCCAGGGTCAGCACAGGAATCCTCTCTGGAGCTCTGCTCCCCGCTGTTACAGCTTTCCTTCCCTGGCTCCTGCTTTTTCCCTAGAACACTAGTCCTCTGTCCCCTCTCTATACTGTGCTTACCACGCACCAAATGCTCTGACAGGTGTTTATTTTCTTCTAAGATGCTCTCCATCCTTAAGCACTCCTTCTACCTCTGGAGAAGCAGTGAGTATTATCTCCAAAAAAATCAATGTCAGTAACTGGACTCACACCAAGCATTGCTGACATCTGTTAAAACACTGCTTAGCATGCAGGCGTTTCTAAGTTGTTTGGCTCCCTGCCCCCTTCAGGCTGTCCCTGAATGCTACAGCCACCCGGCACTTCATCCGGCTGTCATCATGCGTGCTGACGATGTGTTTGATGACGGGCTGTGTGGCAGGCCACTCCTGGTCTGTGGCTCAGCAGTTTCCTGTTAGGAATACTGGGTAGGCAATTAGTGTTTGCTACAATTCACACAATGGAATATCACATAGCCATTAACATTTGAAGAGTATTTATTGATATGGAAAAATGCTCAGAATTGTTAATGAAAGCAGGATACAAATCTGTAAATACAGCATGATCTCAATCGTATAGTAAAATAAATTATATATGCATAGAAAAATACAAGAAGGAAACACACTAAACCCTAACAGTGATCTCTCAAGAGTGGTAGGATTCGGGGCAAATTTTGCTTTCTGCACTTTCCGAGCTTTCCACAGAGAACATGCTACTTTTATAAATGGAGCAGTCAATGCAGGGACAGCATCCGGGCGGCGGGAAGACCACTTCGGCCATGGTGGTTTGAGGTCTCCCGTGTGGCTTCAGCAGTCTCCTTTATGGAGGGCTGGTCACTGCCTGGTGACTGTTCCTCACCTGCTACCCCAAAGCCTTATTTTAGCACATGTTCTTCCAGCCTTCACTCCCAAGGTCAGGAGTGCCATGGCAAAGGCCCGCCAAGTGTGCTGGCCAGGGGAGCCTGTGCCCCTAGCCTACGCCAAAGTCGTCCAGGTCTTCACCTGAAACCTGGTGCTCACCAAGTTCCTCTTACCCTCCAGGTTCCTCCCTGCTGAGGTCTCTTTGGCCTCGTTCTGTTGGAATGGCTATTGCTTCAGAGGGCCCGAGAATGACCACCTCCCTAGCTCACTGTCCCCTGCATTTCAAGGCCAGGGAGGCAAGTGTGGTCCAGGTGTGCGGCATGGAGCGAAGGCGTGGGGGTGGAGATCAGGCCACCAGAACTGGGTGCTGCTGGCCACGTGGCCCGGGAACTCAGGGCTCCGGGAGAGGCTCCCGGGTGGACAGAGGGGCCTGCACATGGCGAGCACGCATTCTTTCCATGTGCCAAGTGAGGCCACTCGCAGTCTCCCTGCATCTTCCCTCTTTAAAAAAGGTAAAATGAAACAGAACTCAATGCAAGCAGAGCACTGGACTGCTCAAACAGAGCTAGCAGGAGGGACTGTCTAGATGCATTTTTCTTACGTAGGCTGACAGGCATAGTAAAGCTGTGACTGTAGAAATTAAAAAAATGCTTTAAAAATGCATTTGTAGAATGAAATAGATACCTATGTTTTTTTCCTAATTTATTTATTTAAAATGATTAATTGCCAAGTTCCATTTTACTTGCTGTTGGTTAAAACACGGGTTACCCACAATCTCTCCAACTATTTGGCATGAAAATTCTGAAATGTGTATTCTTTCCAGTCTTTTATAAAATATTCTTATTAAGTAAGGATTAACTTATTCCTTTAAATAAGGAACTCATCATGAGAACGGTCTTCCTCATGAGACCTAGTTTATAGGCCAAATAATTAAGCATGTATTTTCTGGGCCAACTACAGTATTCCTTAGTAAGTAGATAGTCCTGATTTGCTATGCCTTGAATAGTTTCTCATTTTGACATCTGGTTTTCACTTGATCTTTTTTTTGCTAGAAAGCCAGATACCGCAACATACTAGAAATGTATGAATTTTAGTAGAGGCTAACCATGATGTTCTTGAAGATCTATGAGTAAACTGCAAGAAACTTTTGACATCTCTTTGGCAGGTCAAAGGCATCAGGAGACCGATCCAATTCCTGACTCCTGGTTTGCCAGAGAAGAAACTTCTGGATAACTGGCATTTTCACTAATCCCCCCACACTTTCCCTGTACTTGAAGACTATTTTGATGACAAGTGAGATGATGGATGAAAAAGGATTTCTGAAAAGCATGAACTGTGAACTACTTATTGCTCACCCCTACAAAGAAACACACAGATGTCTACATTGAATCAACCCCAATGTTTTATTTAATTTAAAGTTTTAAAAGGCAGTGGTTAAGCACATTATCTATGTGTGTGTGTGTATGTGTCCCCACATACACACACACACACACACATACATACATATAAAAGGAAATCAACCCTTTTCAACTTTAGCCATCAATCTACTAGGCCCACTGTCTATTGCATGAGTGCGTTTCTACTTCATATGACCAATTCTAACAGTAAAAATACACAGCCTTAATCAGTTTAATAGTAACTGTGTTTCTTTTTTTAAATAAATAAAGTTACCATTAAACTGATCACATCTGGTAGAAAGGTAGAACACACACACACACACACACACACGCTGACCCCAGTTTAAACCCCATGATGGGTGAATGACTTTTATGTACAAATGGGTGCTGCTGACCCCTGGCCCCATGACTCAGGGGGTCCCACTCCCTCTACAGACGGAGGTGGTGAGACTCCTGGCACCCAAAGCTGAGCCTCATAGTGCATGCTCCCCATGCCATGGCACAGGCGACGGCTCAGCTCTGCGGTGCTAGTGCTCAGGTATGTCAGGGACGGACAGGCATTTGTGGCTGCCTGGGAACTACACCATCACCCTTAACTCTCTGTAGGGGGCATGTATTCTGAAGTTTCGGCTAAGTGGCGTACAAACATCTGGGGTGAGATGGGTCTGTGAGTCTGGGGCGCTGCGTGCGTGTGTTTCTGAATTTATATAAACTGAAGTGAAGAGTGGGGCTAGGTTTCCAGAGCAGCTGCTTGGCTTCCACTCAGTGGGTCCTGATCCAGGGAGCTCCTTGCTCAGCCCTTTCCGACCAGCTCGACCTGCGCGCATGCGCCTCCGGCGGCTGGAGACGCTCAGAAGGGGCTGCTCACACGAGTGAGCCTGAGGGAGGACAGGCCCCACCCGCTGCCAAGAATCTTGGCGAGCAGACCTGCAGACTCAGCCGGGGCTGCTGCACAGAGTGAAGTCCTCCATGCCACCCTGACGGGACAGGACCGTGCCGTTCCGCCTCGAGCCCCTGTGCTAACTGCAGCTCGGTACAAATGCCTCAGTATCGCAAAAACACAGGATCACCTCGTACATACGCTGGATTCTCGATGAGTAAACCAGTTAATGTGTTTCTAGCCAAAGCAAGGGCATAAATGTTTTAGAGAAAAGATTCCCCTGGAGCTACAGAGAAAAGATGCTGATAAAAGCAATATTGAGAGTTGCGCAGGTGATGCTTTTAGTCTGTGTCAGAGCTGGTCTCTTCGATGACCGAGTACTGGTTGAGTGCTTCCTCCAAAGGCGTTATTGTTCCATCAGGTTTTAGTCCCATTGGCTTAAGCAACTCCTCTCTGGAAAAAGAGATAAAAGAGAAAGAAAAAAAGGTATTCACCAGCATCACACACACACCCTCCCCCACCCAAATCACATCCTTTCTAAAAGAAAAGTCTTTAAAAACCGAAGTATTTTCTCTCAGGCTCTCTCTGTGTGTTTGTAAGAGAAAGATGAAAGGGGCATGGAAAGAAAAAGAGAGATAAAAGACTTCATTCACACAGGCCAAACCTACTAAGCCAATTAAAAGTATGAAAAGTCAAGTTCTGAATGGGCTCAGGACAAGGAGCAGGCCTCTTCTGGTTTGAGTAAGTAACGTTTCTGTCTTCTGGGGAATCATTCTGTTGTAGTGAAGCTGAAGCTGCTGCACCTTCACCTGCCCAGGCATCTGGTTAACGGGTGCTGAGGTGCGCAGGCGCTTCTGTCAGTCTGCTTTGCCACCAGTCTCTGGGAGACCCAAGTGCTGCCTGATGCCTTTCCTTTAGTGGGCCTTCCCAACTTTCTTTCCTTTCCGCTCTCTCTCATTCTTTCTCTCTTCCTCCTTGTGCTTTAAAACACCATTGTGTTCGTTTGTGGCAGTTTAATTATGGGATTGACAGCCACTTTAATCTCTTCAAAGCTCCCCAACTGCCTCTTTGTCGCTAATCCAATTATATCTACTCCACAAGTTTACAGTCCCATCTAAAGATGATTCATCACTGATGAAGTCAATCATAAAGCATTAGGAAAGGTTTATTTAATCTTTCCATGAACTCTTATTTATTACCTGGAGATTACGGCCAATGCTCTTGTTGAGTTGCTAACTCTGGTCCTCCTCCCACCATGCACAGGACAGTCCTGTACTGAAGAGGGGCCTGAGCGAGGGGCACAAACTGCCGGAAATGTTTCTCACAGAAATGGCCATCACCCCTGGAAGACATGCTGGCAGCAGCGGTGATGCTGGCGGAATATGGAGTCAAGGGCGACAGGAAGCTTTCCGCCGTCTCCTTAGGCCAGCACAAAAAGGGGCAGCCACAAAACTGTGTGTCAGTGTGACAGGCACACCACCACCTGGGAAGGACAGCTTGATGATCATGGGTGATGCCAACAGGAGCTCGCCAGGCAGCACTGGTGAGGCCGAAGACTGCTGCCAAGAGTCAGGAAAGTCTCCTTGGGAAATGGGCATGGCGGCTGGCTAAGCAGGGGCTCCTGAATGTGAGGATGCAGCAAGGTTTCCAGGTCCATGATACAGGCTCAGAATCGCAGTGCTTCCCGCTGGAAGGGGCCTCAGAGATCATTTAGTCCAACGCCCTTTTGAATGAAGGAGACTGAGTGACTTGCCCAAGGTCACTTTTCTAGTGGCGCACACCACATCTGAGTGAACTGCCCTGACTGCACTGCAGGGTGCCCCGAGTTCACCTGCTCAGCATCTGCTCAGTAACTATGTGCCAGGGCCACGTCAGTGACTGGGAAGAAAGAACACTAGGTATGGCTGCTGCCCTTGGTAAGTGGGAAAAGCAAATATTTGGAGCATGTCTTAGAACATAATGTGGTAAATGCTGAAGAGAATTATGAGCAGAGAACTGTGGCGGCTCCTGTGATGAAGCATCAACCAAACTGCTAGGGCAGATGTTCTGTACCGAGGCCTCTGCACGGGCCTATTGTCTTGTGTGGGTCTGCAGGTCTTTTGGATTGTGTCAGTCATCTTTTCCGCCTTGATGGTTTCCTGAAGGTGAAAAGGGCCCAGTGTTTGGGGAGTGGAGAGGTTCAGTGAAGGAATGGGAGGAGGGTAATTTAGGATCTTAAATGCCAAAAGGAGGAGCTTGGATTTTCTCCTGTAAAGAGTATCCAATGAAGTTTGTTTCCTCTGGCAGCAGCATGGTAGACACACTGGAACAGGTGACAGAGAAAAGTCTTAAGAGGCCATTGTAATAATGTGTAGGAGAGGAGCAGAGGGCTGGACTATGGCCGAGTTTGTGGGAAGAAAAGGCAACATTTCAGGGGGAGATCTGACTGCCACTGGAGAGTGGGGTGGACAAAGTGAAGTACTAGTGTCCCCATGGCTCCAGCCCGAGTGGCTGTGGCACTTCTGGAGTCAGAACACAGAGGTAGAGCAGATTTGGTGGGGAGGTGTTGCTATCTTACAGGACATGTAAGAGCTGCCCTTATGACAACCAGGTAGAACTGTTCAGGGGTGAGTTAGAAACACCGTATTGTCATTAAAGCTTCCCTCTAGCACTGATACATACTACAGAGCTACAATTTATATCAACATTTTCTTATTCCAACTAACTGTGCTGAAGGACTTTATGATACTGGATACTCTATTCTAGTACCAGTGCAAAAGGAGAAGGGGATGAAACACGAAGGGACAAGAAAGTCCAAAGTCCTACAGGGTCTAGTGGACTGAGGGCAGGGAGGCCAGGAGGGAGAGGGAGAAGCAGCACTGGCAGATGACGTAAGGGGACTCTACCAAGGGAATGGAGAATTGCTGGGTGGACACGCGGTCACCCTGGGTGAACGCTACTGCACCTCTGTGGTACCAGGACGATACTGGGGCCAGCTACCAACTCGGATGAAGACCCAGTTCCTGCTCATCTAAGCCCTGGAAAAGTGTTTTCAAATCAAGTTTTCCAGCTATATCCCTACTCCCTAAGGCAATTTACGATGCAGATCATCAAGAATGTTACATAGCCTTATGGCCGAATTTTGAGAATTCTTTTACAGAACAATGGCCCCTACATTTTAATTCTCACTTGTGAACTATTCTTCTCAAGCATTTTTTTTTTTTTTTGGTGTTTTGTGTCACCCCTCCATTAAAGTGGAAGCTCCTCAGAAGGCATGAATTATTCTCTTCTACACAGCTCCATGCCATGCTGGGGCCTGCTGGCATCTGCAGAGAGGTACCAGTGAAAACTGGCCACAGAGCCATGCCTTCGTGCAAAGGGGCCACGGCAGCAGTGTGGTGTCCAGGAAGAACAAAGATCTGCAGGCAGGAAATCTGTCTGAAGTCCTGACCCTTCCACTTACCAGCTGTGTGCTCTTGGGCAAGTCTCGGAGTCTGCTCTACCTACTTCCAGTGAGGATGTAACAAGTGTAGCAATAGTAGTGGTGGCAACAACAGCAGTTATTGTGCAGATCAAAGAGTTCTGTGAACTGTAAAGGGCTCGAATATTCATTATTATTGTGATATGGTAAAAAGCATATTTAGGCTCTGGAGTCTGACAGATCTGGGTTTTAATTCTAGATCCACCACTCACTAATTGTAAGACCCTGAACTCCCTTCACTTCAAATTCTTTCTGTGCAGAATTAGGATCTGGGCACCCTACCTTACCAAGTCATTATTGGGACAAAGGCCATTCATTATACATAGGGCCTGCAGTGTAATGGCTGGGATGTAGCTGGGAATCACTAGAGGCATTCCTGATCCTAGGTGCTTACAAGGGGTTTCCCACGCTAGAGAGGAATTAAGCGAGGGGAAGAATGTGTAGAAGCAAATAAAGACATGGTCCCTGTCCTCAAGAAGCTTTTCATTCAAAAGATAAAACACGCACACATTAAACAATATTGGAAGAATTACAGTACAGCAGATCAACAAGCTTGAGATGATTAACAGGCAAAGCCCTGCTTTCCCTAAGCTTGACAACTCATCCATTTACCCTTTCTGCATCTGGAACTTGTTTAAAGGAGATTTCACGTCCTGTTTGGGAGCAGGAGAGGACCATTTACAGATATGTGGCTTTTTCTATGGACCCCTGGTTTGTTTTTCGTATTATCATCCCAATCTTTTCTGATCTTCCTCTCTATCCTAAAACTAGCAGCCCACAAATACCAAAAAGCAAACTCTGATATAGAGAGTCACTCCTAAAAGGCCTGGTAAATGACCTAGTTATATCAGACTACTTCATTTATGGTCTGTTGAACCTAGATCAGCAAGATGTGGACAAAGAATGGGAAGCTTTGATGAACACAACAACGTTCCTTCACCAGTCATATGGGCTGTGCACGTGTGTGAAGGACACAGGAGGAGACAGGGACACTGACTACAGGCTCCTTGCAGGAGGCAGACTTGGGCCAGACTAGCATGGCAGTAATGGACATGGATTTAAGGGAGTAAGCATCCCAGAAGCAGAAGAATGAGTCAAGCAGAGGCACAGAAGCAAGAGTTAGTTGTGTGCGGGATTTGGCAAGCAGGCTGGCTTGGCTGAGGAAAAGGAAAAAGAAAGCTCAAAAGAGACATGGGGTACGAAAGAGGGTCTGAATGCAGACCCTGAATCTTAGGCTGACAAGTCTGGATTTGAATATGAAGGTATTTCTGTCTTTTATTTCAAGACCCTTCCCCACACATTTAAGAGTATTTATTAAAAATAACTGTCATTACAAAGTTTGAAAGCTATGAAATAATACTGCTTTGATATATTCAAAAGAAAATCTGGTCTATGCTTTACTGTCATACTCCTATGTGCCTAGAACAGTGCCTTGCAGAGAGCAGAGCCCCAGTGTCTGTGAACTCAATTTAGTTGCACTTGATCTTATCTTGCATTCTCACAGAAAAGTACGTGTCTTACAGGATGCTTCATAAATAAGCCACAAACAAGAGACAGCTAAATCTGTAAAAGATTCGCTTTCATTATCAAGATTTCCAGTTAGGAAAGTTTTTAACACTCCACAGGAAGTGCTACACAATGCTTTCCAGGGATTCCTCGTTCTCTATGAGACTTTGGATAACTTGAGGGCAGAGTCCATGTCTTTCTTATCTGGCTGTAACCTGCCAGTATCTAGTAGAGGAAAGAGAACCAGAGAGGCTCAGTAAATGTTTACTGAGAGAGTATAGTACACAGGCCATGGCATGATGGAGAATGGTAGAGAACTATTTATCAGGTATTCTATTCTAACTGGAGCTATACCCTTAATGAGGCAAAGCCATCAGACAGAATAATTCTGTCAGTCCAGCAGAAGTTGTGCCCCTTTTGACTATACAGCCGGGCATTCTCAACCACCTACTGGTACAGATGTGGCTTTGTGTGTGGACATCAGAAGAGCTAGATTCTATCTCAGATCTTCTGTAGCTTGCTATGTGTCCTTGGGCAAGTCATTTGCCTCTCTAGGCTTGAGTCTCCCAGTCTATAAAATGAAGGGTTGGACAAGATGATCTCCAATATTCTATACTAATCTCAAGAGACTAAGTATAAGACTACCAAATAATTTTGATCTATGCAATAAGGTGCTAGGTTTTTAAGACATTCAAACTCATTACTCTAAGCCTCTGTTTCTAATGAAGATACTCTAACCATAAGAGTCAAACACATCATCCTACCTGTCACTGACGTACATATGCCAAGACCACAACCCTTTCTGTAATCTGCCAGCAGGGGAGTAAAATACTACAGAGGTAAATCAGAGCAATGACAAATGTTACGCAGAAGGATCCAAATTCAATCAAGGCCCTCAGGAATAGACCATTTATGAAGAGTTGTTACTAGTCCTAAATTTATGAAAGTTCTATCTAAAAAGGATGGCTAGGTGTCAGATATATATGTACATATATATCTATATCTCATGGTAAAACGGAGTTACTGTATATTGAAATATATATCAGGATTAAGATATTCACATAGCAACAACTCCTTCATACTTACCTTCAATGCTATACACAGGCCTTAACATAGGTTAAGACTGCCCTTGTTATCATCAAAAAGTACAGTGATGTCTACTGGATAAAGAGCCCATTCTAGGCACTGTGACAGTATCATGGCGGGCTTCTCATCTGATCAGGCATCTGGCCAGGGAAGAGATAAGCCTCCAAGAATGTTCAACTGGAACGAAACATCATTTAGAAATTTGATCTTACTAAACGATAAGGAACCATAATCTATAAGGGCTTGGCCAGGCAAGAGGACACAGATAAAGCACGTCCAAGAAAGGAAACCCTATTTTGCCCCAGCCTAAACTTTGGGACTGCTAATGGAAACCAAAAAAACTTTCCTAAAGATCTAAGGGTGGAAAAATATGGGAGTTATACATATTTAAAATTTCTAGTCTGTTTTTTCCCCCAGATATATTTTAACATTTTCCTGAGCCACCATTGTCCTGTAAGTAGAGTACTTGGGATGCCTGGGCTTATACAACTTCTCAGAGCTTAGAGAAGGTCCCGCTTTCTAGGGTTTCTGGTTCCTTTGTGACTCTTTCCCCCAGCAATGACAGTGCAGCACTGGGGCTCAGATTCTAACATACCCAATCGCATATTATAGGATAGGTCATATGTGTGTATGAAACACCTTATTTGACCTGGAAGCAAGAGAATACTCTTGCCCACAGCACATGTTTTTGTGCAAGACAAACAAAGCATTCATTTCAAGTGTACTTGTTGAAAAACAGGACATAATTAAGCAGTTGGTAAAATGCATTCTTGTTTCCCACTTGCAGATCTCCCAAGAGTCCCTTCGAATTTACCTATACGAGTTTCAGCTTCCCGCTTGCCACTTAGCTTGGTAACGACTCAAAAATCATTCCCTTGTTTTCAAGGGCTCTTCTTTCTTGTCTGCTCTGTGTACTACAGGGCAGTATTGACACATGGAATTAATGACAGGGTCTGTAATGAAACAACAGTCATGCAAACACCAGTCTGCTCTTTTGATAAAACAGCATGTTAGAGACCTATTCACCTCCCTCTAATTGAGTACTGCATAATAGTTCCGATCCTTTTATGTAACATATTTTGTTCTATGATTAGAAAAGAAGAAAAGGGGGGAAACCTATGAGGCACTGGTTCCTTCAATCACCCCTGATTAATTCTCTGTTTTTAATGAGGGGCTGCTATTTAGGCAGGGTCTGTTACATACTTGTTTTGTTGACTTCTGTACAATGTATAACAAAACCCAAGACAGGATAATTGTGAGTCATTTCTTTGGCGCAAGGATTCCTGCTCTTAATGTAAGGTTGGCTTGGAAAAAAGAACTCTGACATTTTAAATGAGCCATTTCATATTTAATTCCTTTTCATGTTTGAAAGGTGGGGTGAGAAATAAGTATATAAATAACGCATTTTAACTAACGTAGAGCTTTTCCAAAAGTGCCTGCCACAGTGGAGCCTGTCATAGGCCAGAGAAAGCAGCCCTAGAGCCTTAGCTTTAATTCCAAGTCTAGGAGCGCAACACGGGAATATCTGTAATCCACTAAAGGACAATGGATTTCTCAGTAATAGTCTCACAAATGTTCTGACCCCTTTGTTTCCTCACAGACATTAGATATCCTTTGGGGCTGGCTATCATGTCCTATTAGATACTGTGATAGTATCTTTTGGGCTTGAACCCTGATTCTTCACTTGTCACTGCATCCTTTATCTAATGGCTTCCTAGCATCAACTGCTTATACTGATCCTTCCCTAAGCTACCAACCCAGTAGGAAGGCGGGGTATGGTGGCTTTTTCATAGAAAATTTGAGGTAGCAAAATGATTCTGGCCGAATCATTCAGAAATGATTATGAAATCCTTCCCTCAGCATTTGCCATCATACTTGAGAATTAGGTAAAACTAGGAAAGTAAAAATATCTTGTGTAAAAATATCATTCCCGAGCCAAGTGAATATGTTGTATCACCATGTTCGTCTACTCTGTAAAGTTAACTGGGAACTGCCTAAAAAGCCCCACAGGGAAGCGTTTTTAAAGTCAGGTTTTATTAGTGTGATGACATGTACAGGATTTGTTAATATACTAATCTTCATTCTCTTCTTAAAACAATTAAAAAAATCTGTTTTAACACAAATTCATAGAGATTTTACTAATTTCTCTCATATAATTTTTTTTAAAAACAGTAAGTTATTTAGCATGTGACCTGTTATTTGACAAGAGCTCAACTATGGAATAGAAAAGCAGGATGCATATATGCAAGTCTCCTCCAAATCTTAGTTTTCTTGACATTAATACGCATACTGTCGGTTTTTCGTGCTTTGTACTTATATAAAATTTAGAAATCTTATTTAAGAATAATCAGACTGACAAACTTTTAGAACTCTTGGTAATTTTTCAAAATAGCATAGTGTCTGGAGTCTGAAGACTGAGAACTAAGGCCTGGTGTGCTTTTAACTTTATGCCCAATCTTGGGGCAGTCACTTCATATTTGATGCATTTACTCCTGAATAAAATACTTCTTGTCCTGTTTAATTCACTGGGATGTGAATATTATAAAGCACAACAGGAATATTAGGTGTTTGAAAAAATTATTATTCTCATTTCTGTTAGATCACAAGCAAAGCTTCTAAAAATTTCCTACCCATCTTAATAAATAGCATGATTAATAAAATATAGAAAAGAGATAAAGCATAATGCTAGAAATTCACTTTTATCCTTAAGTGATGGTATTATTATTTCTTGGCAATTTACTTATAAAATTTTTCTACCGTGTTCTCTGAATTAACAAAATAAATATTAGTAAGAGGTCAGCACGCCAACTAACTGTTGAATGAAGCAGTAGAAACAGAAGTTCTTATATGCTTTCCCATTTAGGAACTATAAAGGATAAAAGAGGAAGGAAACTAAGGAGCAAATAGCCAAGAGATTCTTCTCAGTCACGTCTCTTTAATGGTCAAAAGCCATTGCAGCTAGTGCTTTAACCAAGAACCTTAAGGAGGCATTCCTACTGCAATCCGAAGATGATGACTGTCTATGGGGAAGACAAAGGCAGCAGGACATCTTAGTTAGGTGTCTGGCCCTTGGAGGGGGCCTTGATAACCTAAAGATGTGCAGTATCAAGGTTCTCTGGTTTATCCCTCTCTGCACCTCAAAGGCTGTATTAATTTAACTAGATCCAAGTCCCCTTAACTGAATTTCCAAGCAACCTTGCAGTGCATTTTAATAATGGAGTGTGGAGCTGTCTGTTAATATAATTCAAGCCCCAATGTAAGCCAGATATGTAATATTAAATGTTCTAATAGCCATACTGAAAAAAATAGGTAAATTTAAACAGTATACTTTATATAATCCAGAATGTAAAAAATATTATAATTTCAACATGTAATCCATATTAAACAAGTGAGATATTTTACATTCTTTCTTTGGTAGTAAGTCTTGGAAGCCTGGTATTTTACATTTAGAGGGCATTCCAATTTGCACTAAACATACTTTAAGTGCTCAACAGTCAAATATGGCTAGTGGTTATCATTCTGGATACAATAGATCTAAAGGATTTTCTGGTAATACAATTAAGATCTTTCCTACCTACAATAGATCTTACAATGCTTTAAACTTTGGGCCATGTTTTTGAAATGTACCTGGAAGGCACTTTCTTGACTAACTCATTATAAAGGAAGATACAATTACAGTTACTGATACTTTTGGAAGAAGAGTGAAATAACTTATTTGTAAGAAGAATGTTACTTTCCAGTCATAAGTCACTCTCAGCCTGAGTTTACAAATAATCTTTGAGTTAAAGGGAATTATTCTTATATTTGGTACTTGCATTTACTAAGGAAGCCATGTTCCAGATATCTTTATGGCTGGCAAAAAATAAAAATAAAGAGGAAATCACAATTATTGGCTAGGGAGTGGATGAGAAAAGGAAAAAATGATAGAACAATTATTATTTACTTATATGCCTATAAATTTTAAAATGGTAAGAGATATAGGCAAACAGGCAAAGCAGCTTGTTAAACAGTGATGGAGTGAGGGTGGGCCGGGTCCGATGAAGAACAGGGCTTAGAGAAGTTCAAACAGAAGTGATCTGGAACACCCCTGGGCGGGTGCAGGCTGCAATCAGCCAGTGCTGCCGCCTTTGAGGAGAGCACTCCGCCCTGCCACGCAGGCTGTGTGCTGCAGCCCAGGCGGCTGCAACAGTCCCAGGCACACGGGGCCTGTGCAGCCACACAGCCCCTGCACTAATCTTGCCTGGGCTGCAGGAGCTTATTCTCTCCCCACGTCAGAGAAAGAGGTAGAGAGACAGGCAAATTTATCCTTCTCTACCTGTACTCTCCCACTGTAAACATCAAATGAAAATTTCTGTAAGCTTATTCCTTAAGCCTTAAAGCTTATGCCTACTGAATATTGTATGTATCACTCTATAGTAAGAGAATTATGTACCCAGACATTTAAAAATAGTCATTTCCCCAAGTGTCTTGCAGAATTCCTTTCAGTCTGGGATTTTATGAAGTCTGGCCGAGAAATGGAACTCACAAAGTATACTCTATTTACAAACCACGGGATACAAGGCCCTGCACCAGCTACACACGAGAGGGGCTATAGGTCAGACGCTCTCCAGTTCGGAAGACCTCCAGGTGCACTGTCAATCTCCATGTAAGGGATATAAACACCTGTCACAATGCAATCCTGATACCAAAGGTGTAAAAATCCCTTAGGATGCTAAGTCACTTAGTGCACAAGGAGAGAACAGTATCTGAGCAACACACTCTCCACTGCGTTTGCAGCTAGGGGGATGGAGATACTTAAGTGGTGACTGCTTCAGGCAGCAGCATGGAGGCAAAGTGGGCAAGTGATCTTCAGGTGTACGATGGGGCTTTAGATTTTTGGTAGTGAGCAGCACCTACACCCTGCACCAAGCTCAGTAACAGTACTTGGCATGACCAACCTTAGTCATCACTTTGGTAAGTGCTTTGGCACGGGCCACTGTTGCTAACCACCATCCTGGTGCGGGTCCTTCACATCTGCTCTCCTACGGATGGAAAAAAGGAAGTGTCTAGTGTCCATGCATTGGCCACGCCACCTCCAACCCTGTCCTTTTCCACGCACAAGCCTCTCAACTCGGGTGCAGAAGAAAATGATTTCACTTGTGAGAGAGGAAGTTAATTAGACAAAGCTACAGTATACTCTTAGCACCATCAAGACTGGCTACACACGGAACTTCCCAGAATGACAGCGGCGGGAACTGACCAATAGCACAGTGCCAAGAGGACGATCAGGAAGTGCTGTGGCAGACACTCACTGTTAGGTAACAGACAGACACAGTGACACAGTGGACAGAGCAGAGGGCTCGAGTTCTGGAAAAGGAAGTTCCTAACCTCACTTCATTTGGAAGCCAGAGAGAGAATGTGCATGTCAAAAGGGCACAGATTATCATCAGTCACCAGCTTGGAAAAGTTCTGGGCAATTCTTTGGTCCTTGCCTCCCTTAATGATAAATTAACCCAAGCTCTTTGGAATAAAGAAGCAGTATGTGAATACAGCAAAGGCTTATTTTATTAGCAAGGTTAAATCTCCCTCTACCTGCAATGAACGGCTATTCTTCACTTTTCCTTTAAACACCTCTGAAACTTCAAGGATCAGCACATATGCTACTGCCTTCCCCATGAATCACTTCCTAGATCATCCAAACAGAATGGACTGCTCCTCTTCCTGGGTGCTCACAGCTCAGCGCAGACCTCATTCTGTCATGATCTCCCTCTACACTGTATTCTAGCATAATGTTCATTCATGCATTCAGATTGTAGCTATTTCCTCCACTGCAGTGTGAGTTTTCCAAAGGCAGAGACTGTCACATTCACCTTCCACCCCACTTGGGTCTCCTAGCCCAGTGCTTAGCAGGGTAGCTGCTCAGTGAATGTTCCCTGAATTGTACTGAATTTGGTCTACTTTGGCTTTATGGCAACTTTTTTTTCCATAACCTTGAAAGAAAAACAGTGAAAAGAGAGAAGAAACTTAAGACTAATGAGGAATACAGCACAACAAACAAGTAAGACGCATAAAGAATGGCTGCATTCTTTGCATTCCTACTCTGGAATGCTTACTGCTGATCTTCATACAGTTTTGTCACTGAGTGGTATTAGAGAGCAAATGTCAGAAAGCACACAAAGGCAGACAATGTCAAAACCCACCATACATCATGCAAAAAAGTCTATGTGATTCAGGGTTCTCCTCATGGGTGCCTTTGCTTCAACTTTAACAGCAGAATCAGTACCATCAAAGCTGACACAAGACATATTTACTCTGCTTCGTTCATGAAAAATGAGCACCCCTCCTGGGCTCAGCACCTGCAGCTATCCGCAGGCAACGGTGTACCTTTGAGGCACAGTTCCAAGTCAGGTGGAAGCTATACCCTACACACTCAACAGCTGCATATTCACTCTCTGGGGCTTCTAAAATATGAGGAGTCCCCTAGGATTAAAAAGGGGAGGACCTAGCACCTTTGTTTCGCCGTGCCCATAACAGGGATGCATTATGACACTGGTGGTTCTATCAGGAAGCCAAATACCCGGATCATACCGCATTATCTTAGGCAGCTCTTTTCCCCATCTTTCATTACCCTAGCTTGGAATTTATTCCTTTAGGGTGGGTGGGGCAGCTGCAAAGACTCTGCATTAACCTTTAAACATTCAGACTGATGGTCAGAACACCGACACTCACATAACTAAATTGTCTTCCTGTCCTAACACTAAAAAGCTCCACTCTGGTCCTGCTAGCAAATGTCCACCCTGTGGCCAGCTGCTGGACTCTGGTGCTCATCCTAACTCAGGCTGCTGTGTTAATTACTCCAGGCACTCCCTGGAAGGACCCAAGCACTTCTGTATGTTTACTTTGCATAATCCTCTTTCTTACTGGGGGGGGTCTGCACTTGAGCCTTGCACATGCTAAGTACACACTCTTCCACTGAGCCCCAGCCCCAGCTACCGTACCTTATTTTTACTGAACTTTGTTACCCTGTCTTGTGTAGGTTGCCTTATCAGCACCTTTGTGACTGTTCCTCCTCAGGGAAACAGCATGTCTATTCTGCACAAAGGTGTGGAAACAGGCAAAAACGTCTCCTGAAGATTTTAAGGACAGTTGGCTATAAATTCTAACCTCAGGAAAGGATGAAGACCTAAATGGGCTAGCTGGTGGTCACTGAATTCTAGTCATACCTTGCAGATAATGAAGTGCTACTGCTAAACAGCTCCTACCACAGTGCCGACATCATGTGAAAAAGCTTCGCCCAAAGAGTGTCAAAATGCCCCAGTGTCACACTGCCCCCGAGAGCCCCGTTTCTATGCTAGGCTGCCTGCTGTGCCTTCTCCCTGTGCCTATTTCTTCTTCCTGTCTTTTCTTTCCATGGCTGGCTTTCTGGCTTTCCCTTTCCAACTGCTCTTCTCTCAGCAGAGTGACGCCAGCCTGCACACAGTTTTGGTGTGAAGTGGGTAATGAGAAGAAATTCACCTTTAAGTGGCAGCTGCCACCCAACACACAAGCACTCACTCAAGACGGCTTCAAGTAGACAGTGACTGGATGTATGACTCGAAAATAGGCAGGTCAGCCATGTATGAAAGGAATTATTTTGTAATAACTCCTCAATGTGACTAGTTAATGATTAGTACATTTTTTATTTAATTATTTTTCAAAACTAGCTATTTTTGGAGGGGAAGGAGGTGTGAACCAAGAGGGGAAGGGCAGATTGTTTTTAGAACCCCTGATTAATACAAGTTCCTGCTTTCAGAAAAATCCTTCATTTGAGCTATTTTTTTTTCGCTTTTTCCCATTGGGTGCATGGCATTTTAGAGTTTTTGGTCTCAGAAGCAACCCAAAAAGCAGAATTGGAAACTTGCACATCAAAAATGAAAAGAAAAAGAAAAAGCGCATCATGATTTGGAACAATAACCAAAACAGACTAAAACAAAAGTACAAGAAGCAGCAAAATCACGGAATCTAACTCACAGAATCTTTTTGAAGACAGGGAGGTTAGTTGGTTAAATATTACAATGACCTAGCTACTATCTTAGCCCTAGGGTTTAAATGTTTAAGAATGCACATCCAGAAGCGGCACATGTAGAAAAACCATGGTAGCCAAGAGGTGTCTGAACTACTGCTGCCTGGGCCAACCTTTTCCAATGACATGGATTTCCAGAGTTGCTGTTTTAGGGTAACTCTCAGTCAGAGAGACAAAGAAATAGAACATTTTTAGAAACCAAGCAAAAAATGGATGGGAATACAATACCTGGAAAGTTTATCAAGCATGTTGACAAGTTTCATGGCTTCATATTCTTTTTGTTCTTCTGTCATTTCATCTATGGGGTTTGGCATTGGTTCCTCTAAATGACCAGTGATAAGATTAATGCTACAAAAAGAAAAAAAAGTTATGCTGTATGTTTTAAAATTATGCTCTTTCTATACTTTTCTGGTCCAAGGTTTAAATTGTAATAAGAAAGAGTCTAGTAGCCAAAAAATGGCAATAATTTCAATAGTAATTTTATGGTATGAACTGCTATAGAAATTTCTTAAAAATTAACTTCTATTAGTTTGCTTTGGGAAATGGGCTATAGTTCTTGTTTTTAAAAAACTAAAATTGACTTGCCAACTTTTTTAAAGGCATGATTGTTTTTAAAAATATAAAATTCAACTGGTGCCGTTGGATAAACATCCTTGGATGCACAGCTTATTTGTTAATTATAAGGGGACAAATGACTTCAGAGAAGGCAAAATGAGGAAATCTATTATATGATACAGCATAAAACAAATGTCAAAACAACAACAACTGGAAAAATGATGACAGAGAGGCTGCAATCTGGAAATGAATGCATGCCAACTTGTAATCTCAGGAAATTAGTCCATTAGTGAGACCACAGAGGGCAATGAGTGTTCAAATAATAAAGTATATAGCAGAAGAACAACCTTAATGAGGTTTGATCTGACCTAGGTAAAAAAAGAATGAAGTCTAGACAAATATACCATCATGGCTTTCTAGAAACAGTATTTCTAATGAATACCTTATATAAGCTTTGTATGAAGTTCTAACACCAAACAAATTATTTTCTTCAATAAAAGTTGTACTTTTTTTTCCCTGAAGAGGGGGAAATACACAATGACTCCTTCAATGGCTGCTAAGTATCCATAACAAACATTTTTCTGTAGAAGCAGACAAGGTTACATTATCTTGTACTAGCCAAGTACCAACAGTTTTCAAGGGTCAAATTAAATATCCTTGCAAATAGCAAACAGATAAACTGTTTTGTAGGGTCTAGAAACACAACTACTTTCAAGGTCGAGGTCATCAGGATGATGATCAGCAAATGAGTGGGTGGGTCACTATAAATGGTATGGTATTGCAGACGGGTGGGCTGGAGAACAGTGCCAGTCTAAAAAGACTGTGTGGACTCACACAGAGATGATGTGATCAATCAGGTCATAAGGTGGCAGTGTACAACCCCTTTCTGAAACATCTGCTTGGGTAAGTTACTTTCTTTTTGATCAGGGCTTAGTTTATTTGGAATAAATGCTGGGTCACAGGGTACTATTGTTTATTACTATTAGATTTCCTTTTCTTTTTCTACATTCCACAGAAGCTATATAACACATTTTTGTGGAAAGCTCAGCCCTCACCATCCTTGAAAACTGTATTTAAAAGCTGTGTTGCCCTTCTAACATAGGGCCTTATATCTAGAGCCATGGTTAAACTTTTCCCCTTTAGAAACACAATATATAAAACGGACAAAAGCAGAATTGCTCAGGCGAAAGGGGGATGGCTGAGGGGAGTGGAGCCCTACAGCCCCTTCTGTTTGTCCCTGACACGCCTGCTTCCTCTGAAGGTATCCCTAAGGCATTTTGAGGAACTCAGGGCAACCTGAAACCCTGATTTTTAGCCCTGGCTGTACATCAGAATTATCTAGGAAACATTAAATACTGAGCCTCCTCTTTGATCAGCTAAACCTGTATGTATTAAAGTTTTCCAGGTGACTCTGATATAAAATGAAATTAACAAGGCCCGGGGATTTAGCTCAGTGGTTCCAGCGCCTGCCTCACAATCGCAAGGTCCCAAGTTCGATCTCCGGCACAAAAAAAAAAAAAAAAAAAAAAGAAATTAACAAGCACTGGGGTAGAGTGCTTGCTTCAGTGTACTATTTCCTCTTTTTTTTTTTTTTTTTCAGGTGCTTACAAGAGAAAAAGCCCTCAGGTGAGGCCATCAACCAAAATGCTAAATGGATCATCATCCTTCCCAATAGCCAAGAACAAAGAAGACTCAGAAAAGGCTTCTGAGCACTCTGGAGATGCATCCAGAGGCTATCCTGGAAACGCAGTTCTACCATTATTTGTTCAGCATATGATGAGACAAGTTTTCACTGGCTGCCCTCTTGGGACCTGCTAAGTTAGAAAAACAACTAATCTTGGAATAGATAAAAGTACTTATGTCAGATACTCAGCACTTCCTGAGTAGACAACAGAAAATAGGCCATTGAAGAACACATCAAGGGAAGTAGGGAAAGTAGATCTATTAACTCTGTAGGTCATGCTTGTTTTCCACTTGACAGAAAGTGTCTCTCTTCAAGTTCAATGGAGGTGTGATTTGAAAAATCAGACTTGTGACTGTTTCAAAAGATGACAATAGCGTAAGTCATCAAGCGCTTCAGCGAAAACACATCAGGAGGACACACTGGTAAGTCTGTAGTGTTGTGGCTACCACAGAACATAGAATTAGATAGGAACTCCTGGATTAGGACATGCTAATTCTTTTCTTGGTTATCTTCTGATTTTAATGGAAACAATATTCATTTTCAGTAAGCTGACCTTAAGGCTCCTGACTACTAAAATGATATAATGGCTTGCTCTGAAATTAGCTATGAAGGTAACAAAAGCTTTTGCTATGTGAGCTTAACAGCAGCAGCCTGAAATTCATTCTTACAGCATAAGAACACATCCTTCACCCAGAGTGAAACCTTCCAACCTTTCCAAGTAATCCCAAGGATCTAGGTTTCACTTTTTCCCTGTAAAAGAACATTCTCCCCAACCCTTGAGACTCAGAACATAAAGTCACAGAAAGCACAGTTCTGGCACTGAGCCGTGCCACTGTTTCTGCCATTGTGCTTGGGCAGAAGGCAGGCAGACCCTGTCTCTCTGCTTCTGCTTTCAAGCCAGAGTCTCGTGTAGTTTCCCCACCAGAAGAAGAAGAGAAAACACAATAAAAGTCACCATGACAAAACTGATGCTAAGTTTCATAAAAAAATGATTTTTTGGTTGAGTAAATACCTGGCACCTTTAGAAACTTATACAGTACAGTCTAAGACTCAACTTTGTAGGTTAAATCTTCACACTGAAATCCTGGGGTTATTTTTATTTAGTTCCAAGACTCTGTCTTAAGATGCTATAAGGGCACTAACTGTGGTGGACCTTTCACTGGTTGGTGCATTTATTCTCCCACCTTGTCCCTGGCTTCCCTCCCCCATCTTCCCAGCACTCCAACGCTATGACTACTATGTCCTCCCATCAGGTGACGAGAAATGTCTAAACTCCTATCTGTGGGCACTTAACCATGATTTTGAAAAATTACATAAGGCCATTATATGAACTGACAGAGGTGAATCCTGATTTTCTTAAATTCCATTCCACCTCTCAACTAGATAAGGAACCTGATGAAGGTAGGAAATTCAATCATCATGGTATCCTACAACATGAAGACAAAAGGATTAAGATAGTAAAAAAGACTGAGCACGTGAACTCGTGTAAAAGCTGAAATATATTTCAGGTCTTTTATTAATCAAACTGCTGCTATTTCTGGCCAGCACCACCAGTGCTAGGTCATTTAACAGAAAGGAATCATTAAAAATTCCTTCAGCTCTATGAAAATTATCTTCAATACCTAAAAAGCACAGCTTAAAGTTCACTCTAAGCACTGCAGTGAAGATGGGGGTTATATAGTCAAATCCTTACAGGGCCGGACAGAGAAGGTGAGTGAAAAGGAGACGCTGTCAAACCAAAGGAGTGTGTCTCCTGGAGTGAAAGGGACCATGACTACTCAGTTCCATGAGGTGGGCTGCCACTGGAGAGTAGGATCTGTCAGAACTTCCTGTTTTTCCAAAGCAGCAAGAAATCCAGACTTTCTTCTGAAATAACTGAATTTTAAATGTTGGTAAGTAACTAATTTATTTTATAGAAGCACTGTGTAAACAAACCAACCAACCCAATAATATTACCACACTAGTTAAGACAAAACATATTTGTGAGTTAAATCCCGCTCATATGCTGATAGTTTGCAATCTCTAGAAAAGTGATCGGGTTTTGGGGAAAAACCATTTTGTAAGCCTGGACTAGGAAAGAAGGGAGCACATGAGGTGGGAAAGGACATGCTATAAGTACCCAGGGTACCCTCAAGAATGCTGGCTCTGCTACCCTCAAATAGAAAGAGCAATTAACCATGTCCCAATTTCCTTAAACTCTGTTTCATGGCTCAACTAGATGAGGAATTTGATCATAATGTCGTAATACTGAGGAGCTCAGTGATTTAAAAAAAAATTAAGTTACTCAACTTAAAAAATCAATTAATTCAGGCTGGGGATTTAACTCAGTGGTTCCACCACCTGCCTCGAAAGCACAAGATGCCGAGTTTGATCCCTGGTACCCCCCCCAAAACAAACCAATTAATTCAACAAAAATTCACTGAGTGCTTACTGTGTGCTAGGCACTATTCTCAGATTTCAATGAACAAAAATTGTTTCAAAATACAACAAACAACCCCCCTCTTCCCCCATGGAATTTGTCTGGTAGTGGAGAAAACAATAAACTTCACGACCAAGGAAGCTTATGGCGTGGCAGAAGGATCCTGTGTGTAAAAAAAAAGTGAGGCAGGACCGTGTGGCTGCCCACACTGGGAATGAGCCTCACTGTGCAGGGGGTATCTGCACCTCTGAGCACAGCCCTTCAGGAGGGGAGGGAAGGAGACATGTGCCCCCCGAAGGACAGACACTGGGCAGAAGGACATGGGCACAAGCAAGTCCACAGTGTGACAAACAGAAAAGGGGCCAGCTCTGTGACAGCACAGCAAGAAAAGCAGCGGGCGTATCACTGTGGGGACTTCAGGTCTTAGCCGCTGTAGAGTTCTGCGCAGCGGACAATGTCTGACCTCCAAGGGCAGGAAAAATCGCCCCGCTGAGTTGAGGGCCAGGGCTGTAGCTCAGTGGTAGAGCCTAGCACACGAGAAACCTGGGCTTGATCCCTAGCACTGCAAAAACCCCACAAGAACCACAAGACTATTTAGAAGACTGTTAAAGGTTCGGCTGGTACATTCTTATAATCCCAACACTCTGGGAGGCCGAGGGAGAAGGACTACACGTTTAACATTTTATCTCA